AGCATCCACCGTCAACTCTCTTGTCCATATACATCTGCTCAAAATGGTCGTGATGAGAGAAAACATCGTCATGTGACTGAGACTGGCTTGACCCTTCTCTTTCACTTTCATCTTTCTCCTCGTTTTTGGGTTGACGCCTTCAGCACTGCAGCTTATATTATCAACCGGTTGCCTACTCCACTTCTTGGAGATAAGTCACCCTTTGAACTCCTTTATGGCTACACTCCACATTATGACAATTTTCATCCCTTTGGTTGTCGTGTTTATCCTTATTTGCGTGATTATATGCCTAACAAGCTTTCTGCCCACAACATTCATTGTATTTATTTTGGTTATAGTCCTGCTCATAAAGGGTTCCGCTGTCTTGATCCCGCCACCACTAAGCTATATATCACTTGCCATGCTCAATTTGATGAAACTCACTTTCCTGTTATCCCTAGCTCCTAGGCCCAACCTCTTTCCTCTATTCCTATTTCAAATTTCTTGGAACCACATCTTCATCATATTGATTCATCCCCCCACTGCTTCATCACCGCACATTCCTTGATCCAGTTCATCCCCATGTGATATCTGTTCTGACCTTGTAGATGAGTCTGTGCAGGTTGATACTTCTCTTGCAGGTTCCACTTTGCCACCCTCGACTTCTAATTCAACGTCTATTGAACCTCCTGTTGATTTCTCTTCTTTGGGCACTCATCCTATGATCACACGAGCCAAAACTGGTATATTCAAGACTCGTCATCCAGCAAATCTTGGTATTTTGGCTCATCTGGACTTCTTTCTACTCTTCTTGCATCCACTGAGCCAAAAGAATTCAAATTTGCAGCTAAGAATCCTGCTTGGGTGGCTGCCATGGATGAAGAAATTCGAGTGTTACAACAAAATGATACTTGGACTTTGGTTCCTCGCCCTGCCAACACCAACATCGTGGGCTCTAAATGGGTGTTTCGTATTAAATATTTGCCTGATGGATCCGTTGAGCATTTCAAGGCTTGTCTTGTTGCCAAAGGTTATACTCAGGTTCCTGGTCTTGACTACACTGACACTTTCAGTCCGGTTGTCAAAGCTACCACTATCCGTGTTGTGCTTTTTATTGCAGTCACAAATAAATGGCCTCTTCGACAACTTGATGTCAAGAATGCTTTTCTCAATGGAACTCTTATTGAACGTGTTCATATGGAACAACCTCCTGAGTATATTGATCCTCGATTTCCCACTCATGTTTGTCTATTAAAGAAAGCCCTTTATGGCTTAAAGCAAGCTCCTCGTGCTTGGTTTCAGCGTTTTAGCTCATTTCTTCTCACACTTGGGTTTTCTTGCAGTCGCGCTGACACGTTCCTTTTTGTCTTTCATTAGCAATCTAACATTATCTATTTGCTTCTTTATGTTGATGACATTATTGTTACCGACAACAACTCATCTCTTATTGACAGCTTTACTCGCAAGCTTCATTTTGAGTTTGCTACCAAAGATTTGGGTTCTCTAAGTTACTTTCTTGGTCTTGAAGCTTCACCCACTTCTGATGGTCTCTTTATTAGTCAGTTAAAATATGCTCGAGATATTCTTATTCGTGCTCAGTTGCTCGATAGCAAACCAGTTCACACTCCCATGGTTGTTTCTCAGCACCTGATTACTGATGGTTCTCCTTTCTCTGACCCTACTCTCTACAAATCTCTTGTTGGCGCCCTTCAATACTTGACTATTACGCGTCCAGATATTGCCTATGTTGTCAATTCTGTCAGTCAATTCCTGCATGCCCCTACTGCAGATCACTTTCTTGCTGTCAAACGTATTCTTCGCTATGTCAAAGGAACACTCCACTTTGGTCTTACCTTTCGTCCATCCACTATTCCTAGTACGCTAGTCGCTTATTCGGATGCTGACTGGGCTGGTTGTCCCGATACTCGTCGTTCTACATCCGGCTATTCTATTTATCTTGGTAACAATCTCGTTTCTTGGAGTGCCAAAAAGCAACCT